AGATACATGAGCGCTTTACGCCTTCGATCTATTTTTCCTTCACAAGACTGCGGGTTAAGTTCAATGAGCACAGAATCAACTGATACCTACAGATTAGGCACACAAATCCACTTATACTAATTGCCAACCGTAACTCCTTTCTAGTGTAATTGTACGCATCAATTTTAGACAAATTTATGGCCTTATTTGCAACCAATCAGCCTGTGGTATTTTCCTTAACTCCCATTGGTTGGCCCAATGATGCAATTTTATCAGTTAATCGGGAAACAGTGTTCATGTAAAATTCTGATATTGACGAGTGATGGATATCACCGAACTGCATAGTTGAGTTGAGCATTAATCCCTGTCCCGAATGAATATCGCTTTGGCTGATAATGTGACAGTAAAAGAGTGTCATTCACTCCCGGTCTGGATTCAGCTACCTGTGATTCTCATTCAACTATTTGGTATCCCAGCAAATTTACTCGTATTTCATGCAATCAGTCATATACGTCTCGGATCGCGGTTGACCACACAACTTCTTCGATCTCAATGTCTGTTTGACGGACTGACCTGTTTGTGCGCGCTGTTGAAGGTATCTCAACCGGGACGATGGTACACCGGATCACACGTGATCAATCACCTGCTTTGTCACATCTGGTTCACTTATACCTTGTTTTGGCTTTTTGTCCTGCTCAGTCTAAGTAATCTGGTATGCACGGCTTTTGATCGGTTCAATGCTGTGGCCTTCAATGTGTCCTATCAGAAAAAACAGAAAGTACATTGTGGCATGTTTTATGTGGGAATGATACTGTACTCGACAATCTTGGTCTCACTCAGTCCTTTGTTACTGCAGTATGATGAATCTAAGTGGATGTGCGTTCCCTATCATCATGGATTGATCCCGGTGCTGGACTTGATCGTACGTATTGATTCCATGTGTTGGCCATGGCTCACCTATTTTATTCCCTGTTGTGTAATGATTGTGTTGTACGGCAAACTGATCGCGTTGCTTCGTAAACCCTATCTGTTGGCCCAAACCCCGAAACCAGAGATAAATCCACTTTTGAGCAAACTTGAGGCCAAGGGTAAACGTCAGAGGCAAGTTGCGCAATCATTGACTATAGCTACATTGATTATGCAAACACTATTTCTTGTGACGCATAGCTTTGATCGCATCTATTACTTTCTTGGTGTGAACGGGTGGACAGAGTATCAGGTCGGATCGATTCCACACTTACTCGGTCTGTGGGCGATCACACTGAATAGTTGTATCAATCCAACTGCTCTGATAATGACTATGCGTCCGTTGCAAATATGGTTACTACGTTTGGCGAATCGGTTGAGAAGATCACTGAATAGAAGGAAACGCAGAGCTGTGCACGCAATCAATCTTCCAATGCAAATATGTTCCCATCGAACCGTTCCATTCAGACCCAACCACGGAGAACGTATTCAGCCAGTTTTGCCCATGGAACTTTCGCAAGACACTAACGACTACATGACCTGCCGAACTAAAGCATTTTCTGTGGGTTAGGAAAAAGAAAGAAACGGTCGTGTGCTTTTTACCACTTCACATAAGACTGTTTTGTATATACATTTTCTTGTTTATCTCCACATTCGGTAATGAACAACTGTGAAAAAGATTGATCCATTGTTCTTGTGATTCATATTTCATATTGTAATATTACTTGTTACGTCATAATAAATTCATCTGTTTGAGAAATCATTTTAAACCAAACGTCAAACTATGTAGTTATAACATAGCCTCTAGTTGATCCGTCAACTAATTCCTAAGCGGCACGAAGTCCATCGGGAGCTCATTAGGTATGTCGTGTGAGATCTGTTGTTACTGACTTTTGCTTCCATCAACGTGACCCGCGTTTTCCAAAATAAGACGGTAGCGTTTTATTTCGGTGAAACCATCGTATTTTTCAAAAGCACTGCATTATGTAGGATATTTATATGCGCATCAAATACAGGTTTAATCGAATCTGAAGCAACGGGTCCCAGTGAAACACTTATCGGTTCGTATAGGCAACAGCATTTATACTGAAGTAAATTTCTTTTCCCAATAATAATAAGCAAGCCTTGGTGATTCCTTATAGCAGTGATTTTCCTGATTCGTTTATACTCAACAGATGGAATGGTGCAGAATGCAGCCGATACTCCCATTTCATCAGTAGTGGTTGATCCAGAGCATGATGTGTTAAGAGCAAACTAAAGAGAATGAAACAATTTTTATTCACAACAGATTAACATCGATAATAATCAAGATGTAAAGTTTGTGTACACTAATAGTCGATCGGTCTACCTTTGTTCTTTAGGACTTTTTTTAGTCCCTTCGGCATCGAATTCCTTTTCTATTTTGTATTCCAAGACGCATCGCACTTTTTCTTCCAATGTCCAATATACAGGTACCACATTGACCTCTCGCTTCAATACAGCAAACAGATTTTCAATCACATTGAGATCAGGATATTAGGGAAACTGAATGAACTGGACCTTAGTGTCTGAAGTTTCTGAAGTCTAAAAGAAAATAATAAGTGAATCAGTTTCCCTAACTAAACAAGTTTCCTAACCTCTCGTGAAATATGACACGTCATTACTGGTACGAATTTCCCACTATTCATGGTGCGTTTGATTGATGCCCACCGACAAGACTGACCATGGCTTTTCCCTGCCCAGATTGGCAAAATTTCGGTAAACCAGAGCAAACTACCTAGCATTTCAAATCAAACTAATTGTCTGAATACTACGTTGGCTTTTAACCGTGTGATTCAATGCTTTTTGTTTCCTGCACCAACTCGGAAGGTTACGTTTTGAGTCCTGGCAGGAACAGAATACTGACATATTCCAACGAAAATGAAACTAATCTTCAGTGCTTGTTGTTGACCAATGCAGTTATTTTCATCGTAAAATAAGACATTGCATGTATTTTTTACACCAATTGCATCCTGTTTAATGAGATTGAATAAAAATGCACGCATGGACACCGCCTACTGTTTTGTACTGTACCTACTTTATCAGTTATGCTACGAGGCCACACCGACGGCACTGAGTTTTTTCCAATTCAAATGAGCAGTCTAACTTACAGATTCACATAGCATCTATCAGGTAGCATGCTAGCTGACTGCTAATGCAAACCTTCCTTAGAATACACTGAAGTTACTCGTTAGACAAGGCTGATTATTCAACTGGTAGTTTGGCAGATTGAACTCTTATATTAAAATTGTGAGAAGTTCTATAGCCTTGGGAGAATTCGAATCCACACATGGATGCTCACCAGGGCTATTAAACTTTTCTCAATTTCCAAATTAAACTTCAGTCAGCCAGACATCAATCTGAATGAATTACAAATCATAATGCATGGGTTCACAAATCGGACAGAATGCTGGTTTTGATCAGGTAGTCGAGCACAATGTGCACAATATACTTGTTGATAGTGAAACTTTTGTAATTCGAACATACTCGGAGCTTTCGCAGCTCAACGGAGTGAACAGAAGTGCGCTACAGCATGCCTAGCTGCTCATATTGTCGCAAATCGAGACGATACGAGGCTTTGCCAGCGACAAATGACGCCGGGGAATGGAGGTCGGCAGGCGAGGCCAGCGGGACATCGAGTGGCGGGGAAACACTGACAGGCAGGTCCTCTGGGGATCGGTTTAAAGGTAAACCAGCACGGCAAAGCAGATAAAACGCCATGAACCAAAACGTTTCAGTAAGTTACAAGGATTCACGATCAAATACTACTAGCGCGGTTGCCAAGCATAAAACTTGATACACCAGCACCTGAATATTGGACCCTTTCTGGAAGTGGAATGGTATTTTTCTGAAAGCCATAAAAGACCGATCACATTGAGAGTTTAGATATTCAAGAATAAAGCAAAGTAAAACCAGTATGTCCCGAGAGACAGTGAGCGATTATTTGTTTCTGTATTCTATCTTTGTATTTGACTCAGTTAAGAATGCTATATTTATATCAAGGTTCAACCTCGTATTTGTTATCAGATGAAGAGTTTCAAACGTTAGTTTGTTCTAAAAACAAACAACTTTTTATCACTCTCATAAGTTCGGAGAGCGTTTGATTTTTATTCCCGCCTAAGTAATTTAGTTTGCCGCAATATGAATGATCACCTAAAATTCCTTTAATTATATTCCATTACTGATTTTTAGTCAAAAAAGTAGAAGTGAGATTTCACGTGAAGCAATTTATACAAAGTTAAGAATAATACTAAAGAACAATCATTTTCTGGTTTTTCAAAGTTTTACAAACCCTCTAATATCTCATTTCTGTCTAATGAGTAGACAATTTTGAATGAAAATTCAATTTACCTCAAAGCTGATAACAAAAGCTATCATACACTATTTTATAGAACAGCTCATTATTTCATACTTAATAAAGTCTGCGGTTTTCATGTTGAGATCATTTAATCTTGGTAACCAAGCTCAGACACATTTAATTGACAATCACGCAGCTTAGAAACTATGTAAATTGAAGAGGACAAGATATAAATCATTATCCATACCTAAAGCATTATTATAGGTGATAAATGTAATGAAACTCCATTCCACCATAAAGAAAATATTTTGTGCATCACAACCGGCCAGTGTCGTACATGGTGGCGGTTTGGTAAAGGCTGTCAGATTTCTTGGCTATCAACACAAAGTACGCTGAGGAATTTGCAACAGTCTATTGGCAGTAACTATCCGAAACACAGGATGAAATGTTAATGTGTTAGATTGAAATCTCCGGATTATGATCACGCCTGAACTGCTCTCCATCTCAGGTGGAGTCCTTGAAATCTGCTTTTGAGAAATATAGCTTACTTATTGTCCAATTCGTACGGATTAAGAAGATCACCTATTGCAGTGCATCTGAGATGGTTTTGGTATACATAAATTTACACAAGTGTCAAGCTAAATCACCATCATGGTAATAGTTGAAAACTCATGAAAATTATCCGTTACTGCTGAAGTAGTTTTGAAGTAATCGTTTAGTTACACCTTTGCACCTTTGAGATTATTATGTGAAATACTCACTGTTGCTCTAAATATGTGAACACTCTCTTGTTCTTTTTTTGTTTTTTTAACAACCATTTATCTACTCCTGCTTTCTCGTTTGCCTAGCCGCAAAACGAAAGTTTTGATCGGCTGCTAGATGGTCAGTTAAGTGGATAGAACGCTAGTGTTCTATCTGTGTGATCCGATGCTTTATCCTCAGTTTTGTCCATACATCCTAACAGCAATGATGAGACCCTACAAGGTGTAAATAGTTTTCAGTTACCATATCGTTGGTTTCCTACACAAAACAGCTCACCGTAAATCCTGAATTGCTCGTCCGAAAGGAAATATGTGCCCCTGAGGAAAAAACGGAAGCGGTTGCAAAAGATAGCCTAGTTCTACCACGATTTGATATCAGTTCCGAAGATTGATAACACTTTGAACTAAAATGAAAGAAAAACACAAGTCGTTCTTTCTTTCGTGCAGATATGGAACCGAAAATCTGTTTGATCAAAAATCCCTATACAGCCTAACCTTTAGTTCATTTGTCAAACAACTTGCCATCTAACTCCATCTATACCTGTAGTGAGAGTGTATCCAGAAACATGTAAAGTGAACCTCGCCCAATACCGTTCTGTGCCACCGTAATTCGTAAAGAAGTCCGTGTTGTTTTATGTATTTATAGGCGTGACGTTAAGCTTGTAGCGCAGCTCCAGAGGAAACTTGCCAAATATTCACTCCCGAAGAAGTCAAGACACTTTTCTCGTGGCCATTATATTGCCTTAATTGACCGTTCACTATAGGTGAGGGAAATAGGACAGTCATTGAGAAGATTTCTTCAAATGGGATGGCCAACATAAAAGCACCGTTTTGGCTTTGCGTGGACTTCTTTTCCGTGCACACTATTTCTTCATCCTTGTCATTATTCTTAATGTCACGGTACCTGAATTAAACGACATAACATCTAATCGATATTTCAACCCACGTTATGAATACAGTGCATAGTAAGCCCTTGCTTGCAAATCAGGCAACTTCCTTCATCAAAGAGCGTTCCTTTAAAGTGATACTTTTCCAAGTTCCAATAAATTGTAAATGCAAACCATTTATTCTCTTTTCAGTTTACATCAAGCTCCTGTAGTTTGATTTGATTATTTTTCATGTGTGATTGAGTTTTATGGTTGTCAGAATTGCCACCTGGTGGCCCTAAGTTTGATCTCCACCACAGCCACCCCTTAAGTCATTTTCCTTATTCTCTCAGACAAACGTTTGGTGGCCGCGGACCCTGTCCTGGAAGTTTATTGGACATTTCTATACTCAATAAACTAGCAATAAAGTAGAACGGTTTATTATTTATTATTAGCAAGACAAAAGTCGAGAAAACCTGGGAAACAGCAACCATTATTCCATTTCTTTTAAGTATCATCCATTTGAGCTTCGTCAGAGAAGTGGTGGTTTTCTGGTTCTATTCAGCGTGCGTTTTGGTCCTCTAAGACTGACTCTCGACACGTTGCTACACGTCATGATATGATGCCA